TGACCATCACCGCCATCGTCATCAGCACCAACATCGACCCGAATCAAACTCCTATTGACATTTCGTTGTAATCTACCACCATTAGTTGTGGAGAAACGTTCAAAAGTTCATCGGATTTTAAGTTGTTATCGCAGTTCTTCGTCGATTTCAGTCGATCCCGAAGTTTATAAGTCACACTGCCACCATCATTCGAACCACCATGTAATTCCGATCTGATAGAGATGTCACCAGGGTGATGAATGTTATTCTTATCGAAGAATCAAACGTAGAAAGCTCTAGACCCGATCAAAGAATGAGAGGAAGAGAAGGACATGTAGGTGACGATAGTTAAGGTTTGTGTGTAATTAGGGTTTGATGGAAATTATGATAAAAGAGGGAGAAAAAAAAGGTCAGAAAATAAAATAATAGAAAAAGAAGAAAAAAAAAGGAAAGTAGTTTATCTTTACCTTCAGTCGTTTGTATTTTTCAGCAATCAGAGCACTCTTTCCCACATCTGAACGGTCAACTGAAAGAGGAGATTAAAGGGAAAAATATATGTTGGAAGCAAGATAATCCAATGGTCTGACAGCAAGATCATGAGAAAAGAAACTGAAAGGTTTCAGTATTGATTCGTTAATATTGAGACATTTTTTCTGTAAAACCAAGGTCGGATCCATGCTAAGGAGGCCGAGATGAGTTTATTGATATATTTTAGAGTCCAACAGTCACTGAAGATAGCGTTCGATTACAACCAATGTATGGTAGGAGTTGGGGCCTCCTGACGGCTTATGGGAAATGTAATACCCCAAAACATCAGGTCAATGACTAAAGTATAAGAATTCAAAATTTAGTAGTTTGATTTTTGATAAATTGAAATGTTCAAGGATTGATTTGGAAATTTTTGTTTAGGATATATTATCAAAGATTAAAGGATGGAAGGGCAAAATTATCTTTTGGCATGAAATGAATATAAAATTCATTTTAAGGTTATTATAACATGTGAGGAAAAGAAGAAAAGGAAAATAAAAGCTTAAAAGCTCTCTTCATCTTCTCTTCTTCATTTCCACCGTGAACACCACTGCTAAGATGAGTAATCTTGAAGTTGGTTGTGTCTTGCATTTTTGAATTGGTTTTGAGCTTTTGGGTGGTTTAGAAGCTTAAGAAAGCTTAAAGATGATTAGAAGCTATGGGATTTATGAGTTAATAGTGATTTGGTAAAAAGAGTTTTTAAGGGAGTTGATGTAAAATGATTAGTATTTGGATTTTTAAAGATATATTTGACTTGTCAAAGGTCTGAATAAGGTATTTGAAGTATTAGAAAGGATTGGGAACATGTTTGAAGAAAGGGTGCGATTTTTAGTTTTAAGTATTCTAGTGAAAATTTTAGATGTTAAAAGGAAATTAATTGATGTAAGTTGGTTGTGATAAGTTTTATTGAGTTTAAGGGCATGAATGGAGTTAGAAGTATGATATTTAGGTGAGTTTTAGGTAAAATTCAAAGCGAAATAAGTGAATTCTTGGCAAGGGTATCGGTACTAGAATAACATTATCGATACTATATGAATCGGATGAACAAAATCGATACTGAAGGGGTAGCATCGATACTAGTAATGTACCGATACTGTAATTGAAGAGGAATTCCATAATGTATTTTGGGTATTGATACTAAGGTAGGTATCGGTACCATAGAAGGGAAGTATCGGTACTGGGTGTAGAGTACCAATATTGTTTAGCCTGAAATTGTGAATTAGGTGTTTCATTTAGTTTATGTAAATGCTGATTTGTTAACAATTAATTGAACTCCGATATTTATCTTGGTCATGTTAACGTGTAGATTTCAATCGAAAGTAAGTACCGAACGAATCGACGTAAGAAAGAGATTCAACAAAAGTGAAAAGGGTTTTTGCTTAGGGCTTAAGTGAGGCAAAGGTGAGTGCATAGTACTTTAATGTGTTAATACAAGGGAAGAAGACTTGTGATAAGTCAACTTCCAATATTTTTAACTAAAATTGAATTTTGAATAGTTATTTATCTTAATTTTTATGGTTTTACCTAAATCGTATTTCATAAGCACTATTTTGATTTTATTTCCATAAGTATATGTTATATGTGAGTAAATGATAATTTGAATAATGCTATGTGAAATACTTATATGGTTAAAGCCCAAAGTATGTGCTATGAGAATTAGAGGTATAATTGACATGCCAAGAGTCGAGGGATTATGCGCGGCCCTTCGGGACAATTCTACGTGGTCCTTCGGGACAATTCTATGTGGCTCTTCGGGACAAATCTATGTCGCACTTCGGTGCATATTCTATGTGGCACTTTGGTGCATATTCTATGTGGCACTTCGGTGCAAAATTCTACGCGGCAGTTTCGACTACAATTATAATGCACAACCTCAAAGTACTTACATACCTTGAGTTCCCAGTGATATGTGTTGGGCTATTTAAACAAGTTAATATGAATTGAACAGTGCATAACAGTGTATGCTATTTTTTTATGAAATGTATTTTGTTCTTCGTATTCAATATTTCTCTTGAAATATTTAAGCAAATGTTTTAATGATTTATTATGCTCATTTATGTCTCATTAAGTCAAAGACTTAGCGTGCAAGTGTTTTCACACATAGGTTCAAAGAAGTCAACTGAGTAAAGCTAGGTCAGGACATCATACCCTTTGAAGAAGATCATATCAGACCGATTTGAATAATAGGTGATTTTGTTATTTTGAAATTTTGTTGGTATGTACTACAAATGTTCGCAAATGCTCTGATTTGTTTTGTAACTATACTAATTAAGGTTTATGTAAATATATTAAATATTTGTTTTCACTGTCTAATAATAATTTCGATTTTAACTTGTGTTAATGAGGGTTTCGTCACTAAAAAAAGATAAAAAATCAAATTTTAGTCAGATTTTCAAAGAGTCAAAGCGTTGAAAAGTAATGTTACACTTCATATTCGTATCTGGATCGGGTACAGGTCAGGGGTGTGACAGGAAATGTAGAAAGAGAGGAGAAAATTCTTAAGGAGGATTGAGGGAGAAAAAACAAAGAATTGAGGAAAAAATGGAAAATATATGGACTTTATAGCCCGATCGAACAGTCCATTTTGGCAACCCAACTCGCGCGTTTTGGGACTTTAGGGGACCACTCCTCTAGCGGCCCCTCCAGCTTTCTTAGAATTTCATTTTTAGTTCTTCTCTGCATCGAATTTGGTTTAATTCCTGGTAATTTGGACTCGAGATTTCATTTTAATGCAATTAGGTATTTGAATTAATTATTATTACATTTCAATAAGCATATTCATGCTTTTATTTAATTTTATTCATTTATTTTTTAGTATTTTAATTTTTGCATTGTATACATTTTGGTCCCTAGCATTTGCCTTTGACTGCAAATGTGTAGTTCATACTATAGGCTCTAAACTTTGCCACGTATTTGTTTTAGTCACTGTTTAGTAATAATGTGGATTTGTTGCATGAGTAACCCCTAGTACCTCTATTACTTTATTTTAGTCCTAGAATAAGTGTCTTGACTTTATATTAAACCCTTAAAATTAGTTTTTTTAATTTAATCCCTAATTTGATTAATTATCATTTAGTTTTAATTTCTAAATCTAGTTTCCTTAAATTTAGTCCCTATATTTATACATTTGTATCTTACTCTTTTTTGTGTAATTTATGTATTTTTCTACGTAAAATATTATTTTAAAATATTTTATATATCATTCATTAAAATATAAAGTAATATATCTTATGCGAGGAGTTTGTGGGAACACACCTGGATTGATAGAGATCGTGTTCCCAAGAGTTATTCGTACGAAGTAACATTTTTAGTCGAGTGAGTTTTTAAATATACTAAATATATATATATTTTTATTACTAAAAATTATGACAATATGATTTTGTGCGGAGAATCTATGTAAATGCACCTTGATTGATAAAAAAATGTGTTTTCAAAGATTGTCTATGCAAAATCCTACCCTTTAATTTTTTCTAAAACGATCATAATTTAAAGGTATATTTGAATTTGCAAGTGTTGATTTAAAGATGATATATAATCTCTTAGGTATTAATTTAGGACGTTGTGGGGTGCTCATCCTCCCTTGTGTAGCTGGCTCTCAAACTCTTAAAAATGAATTTTTGGTTAAAAACAAATTATTTTTATCTATTAACTTAATTTTTCTTAAAAAATTATTTTAAACAGCATTTTTAGGTATTCGGCCTACCTAACCCAAAGGTCGATGGCTACTCCAAATTTATTTGTATTTCAAAACCCGATCTCTTAAAAATTAAATTGTATCGATCCCCCTAACATCAAAAAGCTTAAAGACCTTTTCGACATAAAAATTTGATTCAAAAGAAATTACTAAAATATAATATAGGTATAATTGACATTTAAACTTCTATTTCTTCTCTTATTTCAATTTGGTCCCTATGTTTTTAATTTAATATGTTTCGTTTTTCAATTTGATCATGAATCAAGTCGTTATTTTAATCTATTGATTTCCATCAAACATGACACTATTTTCAGTAATAAATATTTATATAAACATGAATGGAATATAAACATATTAAAAAATAAATAGATGAATACAAATATATTCTTATTCATTTATATTTCCACGATATATAAGATTCCTATAATATGGCGGTGGAACATAGGTATATGTAGAAAATCTTTATTAAGAGATTTATCCATCAAAATTAGATGTATGACGTGGATCGATACAAATTAATTAAGGTAAAATCTTAGAATCGAGAGGACAATAAAAAAATTAACATGGTGGCAGAATAACTGTGTATTTGAGTTTTTTAAATTCAAAATTCGTAAACAATATTTTGAAAGGAGGAGTTGAATTTGAACTAAAAATGAAATCACTGAGCTATTCGTTTGACTAATAAAAACCGAGTTTGAAGCCTATATCGGTTAAATTCGTTAAAAAGCAGCATGAGACTAATTATATCCTCAGCCACGCGAACCAAACCCGCCAAATTTCGGTCCTTGTTTTTATCTCGATGACACCAAGTCTCTCAATTTTAGACCACCCCACGTTCTTAGTCCCTCCTCAAAACTTCTCTTCCACCTTCTCTTCTCCCTTTTATTGCTCCCCACAATTCCTCACTCTCCAAACCAAAAAGCCATCGTCACTTTCCTTAACTAAGTCCACCATTAAGCCAAGACGACTCTCGGTATCAACCTCCCATTCCCTTCAAGCTCTCATTTTCGACTGCGATGGTGTCATTCTAGAATCCGAACACTTGCACCGCCAAGCTTACAACGTTGCTTTCGCCCACTTCAATGTCCGTTGCCCTCCCTCTTCACATCCACTTAACTGGGACCCAGATTTCTATGATGTGCTCCAGAACCTGATTGGTGGTGGCGAGCCCAAGATGAGATGGTTCGTTTTATTCCCCTCTTTTCTTTTCTTTTTTTGCCTTTAATATTTTGGGTTTCTTTCGTTGGTCTTAATTTTTATTTGTCTGATCAGTTTGATGGAGATTTTTGGTGTTTCTGAAGGTACTTCAAGGAAAATGGATGGCCATCTTCCACCATATTTGAAACGCCTCCGGAGAGTGATGAGGAACGAGCAAAGTTAATCGACACTATTCAGGTATTATTATCATTAACGTTTTTCTTCTATAGAATTCTCTTTATGGAGGGACTTATGTATGCGATGCTGTTACATCTTTGTAGGATTGGAAGACTGAAAGGTTCAAAGAAATAATCAAATCTGGAACTGTAAGAAGACATTACTGTTTATTGCATTGCAGTTCTTTTATCCTTCCTTTCTCTGATTCTAAAGTGAGTGGTATCGTTTTGATCAGGTGGAACCTAGACCTCGAGTTTTAAGATTGATGGATGAGGCCAAGGCTGCTGCAAGATATTAGTTGTTTGTCATTTGAATTGAGAATCATCTTCATGTTCTTTTCATTATTCATTATTCCACAATTGAAGCAAAGCAAGCTTTTGTTTTTGTTTTCCCTTGTCTTGCCAACTCATTGAACCCATTTCTTCATATTTGGTTGAACTGGATCGGGCATAAATTCTTTTATTTAGCCTTTTGTGATACCGTTTTCTTCCTCCAATCTTCCAGGGGAAATTGCTAGCTGTTTGCTCTGCAGCAACTATAAGTTCAGTTGTACTTTGCCTTGAGAACCTAATTGGAATGGTATGTTCTTGTGGAGAAACCCAACCTGGGCTATTTTGACCTAAGAGTCTCACAGTTTTACCCTGCAACACTTGTGAGACAAAACCGTGAGAATTTTGGGTTAAAGCGGACAATGCCTCACAAGTGCACAGTTTTGATTCTATACAGCATTGTTCAACAAGTATCCTTACTTCTGTTTCCTTGTTATTTTACTTTTTCCATTGTCATAGGAGCGATTCAAGGTTCTTGATTGCTTCCTTGCAGGTTAGTTGAGCACTTCTAAAAACGTCTGGTTTGGTTGTTAGATGTGCTTTAGACCTAAGTGAATCAAAACATATATTCAATTCTTTCACAAGTCAACATATTCTTAACAGTAGAAAAATGAGGTGCATTCTTGCTAGGGGAATTTTTCAGTTTTCTATTGAATAGTAACCAAAATCCAGCCTCTAAATGCCTCATAATTGCTAGGGGAACTCCTTATCCTCATTTCTTCTATGCTTTTAGGTGATGATGTGAAAGAAAAGAAGCCGGATCCATCGATATATCTGACAGCTGCCAAGGTAACTTACTAGTGAACTGTATCATGTGCATTCAACCATAATGTTACCTGTGCTCATTTTCCATCTTTCAGCCTTTTGTTGCTATGCAAGAACTTGATTTATAAATCTTATTTGTGGCAGAGATTAGGCGTGTCAGAGAAAGATTGCATGGTGATAGAGGATAGTGTGATTGGTCTTCAGGTAAAGCTACTATTCTCTGGTTCAACAGTTGGAGAAGCCTTCAGTTTATCTTCAATTCATCAGAAAATTTTCAAAGAAATTGCCTCCAAATCTAGTTTGGGCATTGCATGCACTTAACAAGTATATCGATCATGGTTAAAGCTTTAAGCAAAACTTTTTCCATCTGTGCAGGCTGCAACAAAAGCTGGGATGTCATGTGTGATCACCTACACTTCTTCAACTGCTGACCAGGTAAGGTCTAGAAGTGATACTAACATGGAATAACTCGGAAAAAAAAATCCGAACATACCCGTGTCGGACAAATACCAACATCCAACACTCACAACCTTAGTTTGAGTAACATAGCTGACATTGAAAATTGGTAGTTCAGTTGTTTGATCACCGAGTGACAGAGTTCTTTTCTATTTTAATTCAGGATTTTACAGATTCTATAGCAATTTACCCTGATTTGAGTAATGTGAGGTATGCCGCCATTTCATTTCCGGCTGTTTATAAATCTTTTCGGTCAACTTTTGTTTTAACTGTTAGGATTCTGATTTTGTATGCAGATTGAGTGACTTGGAGTTGTTGCTACAAAAGGTGGTTGCTGCTAAATAATCAAGGAATTCAAAGTAAGATCTTCCATTGATCTTATAGAATTTTCTTTTTCCTGTTTCGGATTAAACATCTATTGTTCTAATCATATACAACTGTAAAGGTATACGGATTATAACATTTGAGGCACTAATGTATAAGAATTATGAAATGAATTTATAAGGGATGATCAAATGAAACCTTCTTGCTTCCACAATTACTGGATGTAAGTTTTCAAATTTTTTAGTGTTAAAAATTCTAGCAATCTATCTAATTCCAACTATTTAGATTGTTTAGGAACAATCTTTTTTAACCGCCGCATGAATTCAACCCTATTGAGTTTTACATGGTTAAAAACTCCTCTATACAACGAGACGTCACTACAACAAAACTGTTCTACAGCGGTGTTTGTAGTGGCGTTTTGAGGGCAAACACCACTGACTTTAAACATATAGCAGCTTTTACATACCAAACGTCACAAAATAAAAACTTTAGCGGCATCTATAGTGGTGCTTTTTCAACAAACACCGCAACAGGGTAGTACTTTCATGGCGTTTTTATACAAACGCCGCAATAGGTTCATCTTTAATGGCGTTTCCTAAACAAACACTGCACCGGAGAAGTACTATAGCAGCATTTTTACAAAAACGCCTCAATAGGGTTAATCTATAGTGGCATTTTTTTTTCAAAAAATGTCGCAACAAATTAATACGTCAGCGGCGTTTTTGAACAAACGCCGCAATAGAGTTCATCTATAGTGGCATTTTTTCAACAAACGCCGCAACATAGTAGTACATTAGCGGCGTTTTTATACAAACACTGCAATAGGGTTCATCTATAGTGGCGTTTGTTATAAAAACGCCACAAAATCGCTTACATTACTGGCATTTTTTCATGTAAATGCCGCTAAATGATAAATATATTCCCCCTTTCTTCTGCCCGATCCCTAATTCTCCACAACCTAACCCAGCACAGCCACCATAGCCTAGCGACCACCACCAGCATAGCATCCCGCCGCTGTCGCACTCTTCCAGTCACCAACTGCCAACGACCTGCAGGTATGTCCTTTTCTCTGCAGCACCCTACTTTCTTTCTATAACAATCAGCTATGGGGTTTTGTTTGTTTGTTTCTGTGAAATTTGGGGAGTTTGTCAAACTGATTCATAACCTTGATTGAATTGCCGTTGTAGTAGTTGCACCCACTGGCCTCCTAATCTTTGAATTTTAATTTCTCCGAGTCCCCGCTCTTTTAACCTCAGCATAATACTCCTAACACTGCAAACAGTTGCCATTACACCTACCAAACACTTTCTCAACTTCCACAAGTCTTCAACCTCAACATGCCCAGAAATCCTCTTCCTAACCTTCACCTCATGTATGCTCGACTCTCCTACCTCTCCTACTTTTACAGTAGGCTCATCCTTGTTCGGCCACCTCCTCTCATATCTTGCATATTCTTGGGAAAGTTCACCTCTATTATTGGCCTTGGAAAATGACACTGAAATTTTATTGCCGTAAATAATCAACATGTTCTGTCTTTCAATCGCTATCATCGCATCTGAATTGCTAGCTACTCATACGAAGCCAAATCTTCTCCCACATATTTGCCATAATCCCTTCCAGTGTAACTCAATCGGTAAATTATCCACAAAAACAATGATACTAACCTTGGAGCCATTACATGTATTGATACTCTTACCATTTTATCAAAAAATAATGAGTACTTAAAATTTATTAGATATTAATTTTAGACGATATGGAATTCTAATCCTTCCTCATAATTAACTCCTTACTCGCATTTTTTTATCTTTGGTTTCAAAAAGTATATTAGTCGAATTGTCTTTTAAAAAAGAGAGTTTCAAAATTTTCTTTTTAAAACAAAAATTTATAGATGTTTGATCACTTATCATATTTTCAAAACTGAAATCACATCTATGTGTTATTATTTAAATTCAAGTTGTTTGTTCTGATTTACTAAATAGAAGATATAAAAGAACACCAAATTTGATCTTTGAAGTCTTTTAGATAAATGTAGAATTGTTTTTCAGTACTTTAGTCACATATATTATGTAGTACGGGGTGTAAGTTAAGGGTGTGCAAAAATATTAAATCTGAATAATTTGATCTGTTTATCTGATGATCCTATCTAAATTTTGGATATTCGATATGCCTTTTTATGGATAATTTGGATCAAATATCTGATAAAAATTTTGGATAACCGGTTCGAATATATATCAGGAAAATCCTGATTTCAAATTATTCGAAAAAACTGAAAAATAAATGAGCCTTTAGCCCAAACTAGTAGCCCAATTCCATATTTTGGGTTATATTTTGGGAAAGGGTATCTGTAACACCCCCAACCCGTACCCGACCCGGATACGAGTCCGACGTGTCACATTGACTTTTCAGATCTTGACTCTTAAGAAAAATCTCGGGAAATTTAAAACTTTATTTAAAACAAAATACAGACTTGATCGGAGTGCTCGTACTTAATGACTTATTACATGCCAACACTTTATACATAACCAAATACATACTTTGTCAAATATTTCTGATCTGATCTTTTGGTAAGGAAAACTGACCTGTCTTGCTCCGCATCACTCTTTACTCTTCTCGAAACCTACGTGTGAAATAATAACACGCTAAGTCGAAGACTTAGTGAGGCATATAAAACATATAATATAACCATATATCATTTCATATAAATAAAAGACATACATATGCAAACACTATCAATAATCCTTTCCACTTACCATATACTCATCATATAACACATATATCACTATACCCAGAAACACACATAACATCATATAATTCATGTATGTGCATTCATATCATTGAATCATGACATATCAATATGCATGAATTTATTGTATGATAACAATATACAATCAGGTCATGCACACATGCAACTTACCTTCTTTTATCACTTTCACTTTCATTTGTCTGTCAATTTCATTGCCCATGTATATTATTGAGAATAGAGGTATGTGAGTACATTGAGGTTGTGCACTAATGCTGTCACCACAGCTCGTATAAATTCCCTCATGGGGCACCGAACATTCGTTCAGTATTCGTCCCGAAGGACCTGTCCAGAGGTTACAAAGAACCCCGGTAACTATCCAGAGGTCATAAAGATCCTCGGCAACTATCCATATGTTCCTTTCAACATAGGTAAACCCTCGACTCTTGGCATGCCAACTATACCTATAGCTCTCGTATCATATACTATGGGCATTTATTTATACATTTCGTATCACTTGTTCTTTCTCTTATGTCACATACCACATGTATGTGTAACCATATATCTCATATCATATCACATGTATTATATATACATGTATTCACGTAAATCATTTCATATAATTCATATCACATATATCACATGTGCATATAAGCTTATAGCTTCTTTCACATATACATGTAGTCACATAGCTTTCTTTCATGTAACCATGCATGTCATGTCAAATAACATATATCATATGTTGCATTTTCACTTAAGCATATAAATCATATAACATAGCATCCATCTATTTCTATGTATTAATGCATACATGGTAATCACATAACAATTTAGAAGTTACTTCTTACCATAGTAACTCCATCACTGGCTCATCACAAGCCAATGTTAATTCAATAAAATAAGTACAAAATAAATTGCAGTCACCTTAGCTTTGCTTTGATTCGATTATAATTCCTCAATTGTCCCGAAACGGATCACTTTCTATCTCTACATAACAATACACAGATTCATATCAATATTCCAATTGATATATTCTAAACTGTCACTTCTTAGGCTAAGAGAAAAGCCCATTTCCTATTTCAATGAATGTATGCATCGATGCACTACTTGTGCATCGGTGCATAAAATGCATTCGATGTTTTTATTTAATGGGGATGCATCGATGCACTCATTATGCATCGATGCATAAATCCTATTCGATGTTTTCTATTTAAATTCATGTATCGATGCACTGCATGTGCATCGATGCATCTTAAACATTTTCTGGTATTTATCATCGATGCATCGGTGCACAATGAATGTGCATCGATGCACATTGCCCATAACTGACATTTTAACACGTAAATCATCAACTCTTCCCTTAATTCTTCTATTTTGATCACCTATTATGACTTTAAACTCAACTATCATTATTGAAACCAACTTATGCCCATATAAATCATATTTATCTTCCATATTTCATCAAGATTCTTAAAATTAAGAATCTTACTAAACTTTCAAATTTATTATAAATCTTTTCTAACTTCATAAATCTCTTATTCTTATTGATGACAAGTCAAATTCCATCTTAAAAATCTCTTATTAACTCTTTTCCAGAATTTCCTTTAAAAACTCATTTTCTTTAATCTTTCATAACTTCTTTATCTTTCAATCTTAAGATAACTTAAGCTTTCCTTAAGCTTAGTTATTATCTAATGATCAAAACCCAACCATAAATTTAGCAAATAACCAACTAACAAAGAAACTCACCTTTGCAAGCTTGGCTCTTCACGTTTGAAAGAAGATGAAGATGAAGAAGATAAGTCTAAAACTTATCTCTTCAATCATACCTCTCATATATTATAATACCCATTTATTAATATTTAATATTATCTTTGTTCAATGACCATTTTGCCCTTCATCTACTTTAATAATTACTAACAACTTTTAGGATTTATTTTCAAATAAATCATTGAATTATTCCATTCTTCTACTTAATACATCAAATTCTTAAACTTTACAATTTAGCCACTAACCCCTAGTTTGGGATGTTACAATTCTCCCTCCTTAAGAAAATTCGTCCTCGAATTTTCACTTTATAACAATATGAAGCAATCTTTATATACAGTCCTCTTTAATTACTCAATACATATCTCTTTCACTCATGCTATAAATATTCTAACACCACTTATAACACTTATCACTTATACTCATCTTTATGTACCAATCTTCATTGCATCCTCATTATTTTGATAACCCATTTCTTATACATAACTTCATTCTTTATCATTTCTTATACTTGTATTTTCCTTCCTGAAGGTTCCATGC